GCAATGTATGAGTGTGCCCTTTCCCCCACATTCTCTCGAACACTTTTTATTTCTTGTATTCTTAATAAATGCCATTCTGACTGGAGTGAAATGAAATCTTAGAGTAGTTTTTATTTGCATTTCTCTAATTACTACAGATGTTGAACGTTTTTTCATATATTTGTTGATCGATCGTATATCTTCTAAGAAGTATCTGTGTGGTTCCTTGGTCCATTTATTGATTAGGTTGCTTGTCTTTTTGGTGCCAAGTTTTTTGAGTTCTTTTTATATCCAGAGGATTAGTGCTCTATCTGATGAGTGTGTATGGTAAATCCTCCTTCTGTAAAGAGTCAAATAGTAAATACCTAGGCTTTGTGGGCCAAGAAGAAAATTAACGATATTATGTAGGCACTTATAGGATAAGAGGGAATGAAAAATTTCCACAAATCTCTATTGATGAAATTCAAAATGCAACAATAATGATACAATTTTTTGTTGGTAATACAGGTCTAGAAGAATGGAGTCCTTTTGAATGGAATACTACCAAAGTTAGAGTTCCTTATCTATTGCAAAGGTCCATTTTATAAACCATTCTTAGTTCTGAGATATACAAAATTAAATAATGGGCCAGATTTGGCTGAAAGCTGAAGTTTGCCAAACTCTAGTCCATTCATTTTCACTTCTATATAGTATTCCACAGGTTGGCTCTAGTGTAATTTGTTCAATAATTCACTAAGGTCAGATGGAGGTGATTCTATTTGGTTTTGTTTTCAAATGGTATTTCTGTAAGTATTCCAGTACATATCAGTGTTCTAGATACGTGTTTCTCTGTTAGTTAGTACACATAGAAGTAGAATTGCCAAATAGAACATAATCTTTAATGCCAAACTGCTTCCAAAGTGGTTGTACTAATTTCTACCAACAGCAGCAGTAACATTTGTCCCTATTGGTCCACGTGTATATCAACACTTGGTGTTAAAGAAGTTCCAGAACATGCAAATCTCACAGCCATATAGTGCCACATCATTTTGACTGTCATTTTCATTTCTGGATTACAAGTGAGTTTGAACCCCATCTTTTCAAAAGCTCATCAGGCCAGGCACGGTGATATATGCCTGTAATTCCAGCAGCTAGGTAGGCTAAGGCAGGAGGGTCACAAATTCAAAGCCAGCCTCAACAAAAGTGAGACGCTAAGCAATTCAGTGAGACCCTCCCTGTCCCTAAATCAAATAGAAAATAGGGCTGGGGATGTGGCTTAGTGGTTGAGTGCCCCTGAGTTCAATCCCTAGTACACACACAAAAAAAAGTTAATATTCTCTCTTCTATAAATTGCTGAATCATATCTTTCACCCATTGGGTTGTTTATGATTTTCTATTGGGTTGTGTATGATTTTCTGACTGATTTGTACAAGTTATTCATATAGTCTATTAACCTTTTCTTAGTTTAAATGGGTTAATGACACCTTCTCCTATTTTGTGTTTTCCTTTTTCAAACCACATAGATCTTTATGTCCTCTAAGTATGTACTTCAAAAAGTTTCTAAATTTTGTTTTCCTTTATTCTACAGGAAATTAAGATAGGGGACTGTTGTTTATTGGATGGTTTATAATCCTTGAGCAATTTTTAATAACTATCTTTTCTAAAAATCTTCAGTATATCACCCTCACTTACCATATTTCTGGGTACCAATTGGTCTATTTAGGTGGCCAGTTTCTGCACATTGCCTTGATTGCTATAGTTTTCTTTATTATTACTATAGTTTCTTTAAAAAAAAAAAAAAAAAAACAAGCTTTGATGTTTAGTAGGAAAAATCCCACCTCAACTTGATCTTTAAAATTTTCTTGGTTACTTTGGCCCTTTGCTCTTCTGTTCAAATTCTAGAACCAAGCTTGACAATGAAGTCTTTGAAAACATCCATCATGATTTTGACTGAAATTTCATAGTGCTTGAAGATTAATTGAAGGAGAATTGACATTTTTTGCATATTTAATGGTGCATTATCGTTGTACATAATGGTGGGATTTGTGGTTACATATTTGTACATGCACACAATATAACAATATAATTTGACCAATATCATATCCCAGTTTTTCCTCCTTTTCTCTCCTCCTCCCTCCCCCTGGTCCCTTACTCTGCTGATCTCCTGTTGGTTTTTAGGAGATCCCTACCAACAACACCCACCTTTCTTTCCCCTTTTTCCTCTCTAGCTTCCACATGTGGGAGAAAATATATAACCCTTGACTTTCTGAGTTCGATTTATTTTGCTTAACATACTGTTTCCAAGTTCTATTTTCCTGCAAATGACATAATTTCATTCGTCTTTAGGACTAAATAAAACTCCACCCACCACATTGTCTTTTATCAGTTCATCCACTGATGAACATGTAGACTGGTTCCCTAGTTTGGCTAATTGTGAATTTTGCAGCCCCCATCTGTCTGGTTCCTTATCACTTGTTTGTCTCAAGGTTGAACACTCAACCCCACTCAAGGCTGAACACTCAACTCCCACCCACCTGGTGCAAGAGAAACCCACAACCAACATCTGCCCAGTCAGCCTGAGGGCAGAAGATGACACCCTTAGCAACTACTGTATGATCCAATCACGGTACACCAACAAGGCAGCTTGCAGACCCAGAGACCCCATTAGATTTTGGCTATAAAAACTCTCTCCTGCCGGGCCCCCCTCACTCTCTCTCACTCTTTCATCTCTCTCTCTCCCTCTCTCTCTCACCCCCCTTTTCTCTCTTTCTGTTCTCTCTCTCTCTCTCTCTCTCTCTCTCTCTCTCTCTTCTCTTTCTTCTCTGTCGATCAGACACCACCACAATAAAGATCTCTTGGTTGCTCTGAGTGTCTTGGTCACTTTCCTTTCATTTTGGATATTAATCCTCTGTCAGAAGAGTAGCTAGCGAAGATTTTCTCCCATTCTATGAGTTCTTTCTTCACATTCTTAACTGTTTCCTTTGCTGTGCATAAAGCTTTTTAATTTGATGCCATTCTATTTATTAACTCTTGGCCTTATCTCCGGAGCTTTAGGGGTCTACTGAGAAAGTCATTGCCTGCCCCCATATGTTGGAGTGTTGAACCTATGTTTGAAAAAAATCAACATTTTAGTGATGTTTAATCATCTGGCCCATGGACACAGTATAGCTCTCCTTTGGGAAAAGATTTGGATCTTATTAGTTAATGTCTATTATAAGTTAAATAATTTTTCCCTAAATTTTTTTTCAACATTTTTTGTTAGATTTACTCTTAGGTCCTTTTTTTTTTTTTTGTAACTGTTATTGTGAATGTCATTTAAAATATCTTTCATTTTCTAATTGTTGTCAGTATATAAATATGCACATGGCTTTGGTATATGCCTCTTATAACTTGAACTTTTATAAATTTTCTTCATTTCTCTTTAGATTTTTGGGGGAGTTTTCTTCTATGTAAGTAATCATGTTCTCTGTGAATAGTCTCACTTTTAAATTCTTCCTTATAATCTTTCTTTTAACAACTAATTGGGCTGGCTAGGACTCTAAGGTTGAATAGTTTAGTTAAGTAATGATGTCTACCCTTGACTCACTTCTGATTTTAAAGGGATAAATAAGCTTTTGCTATTTCACCTTTTGGAATGTTTTTTTTTGTTGTTGTTGGTTTTTATTAGGGACTCTTTATCAGACTAAGTAATTCCCTTCTATTCCTAGTTTGCTAAGTTTGCTTTTTTCGGTTTCAGTGGGTGGTTTGTTTGGTTTTGGGCTTACATGGACTTTGGATTTTACTGAAAAGCTTTTTTTTTTTCCCAACAGTTTTGAACGTACAGGTTATTATGATGAATTGCAATAATATAATTTTCAAAGTTTAAATATTTTTGCATTCCTTGCAAAAATTTAACTTGATCAAGAAATATTTTTAAGTATATAGCTAGAGTCATTTTGCCAATTTGTTTTGTCTTATTTAATGACTTAAGTTGTTAGAGGATATTGGTAATTTGTTTTCTAGGCTGCTTTTAGGATCAAAGTTATACTAGCCCAATAAAAATGATTTACCAACTGTGATATTCTTTCTATGACACATGGAGGGAGAAATTATGTAAGATTGGAATTATCAAAGTATTTGAATACTTTGTAGAAGAATCTAGAACACAGAACCTGCTGCCATTCTCTGTAGTTTTCTTTAATAATTATAGGACTGTTCAGATGTTAAATTCTCTTCAATAAGTTCTACAACTTTAGAAAGCTATCCTTTTCCTCTATATTTCCAAATTTATTGTTGTAAAGATCCCCAGAAAAGACTTGATACTATACAGGGGCTGGGGATGTGGCTCAAGCGGTAGCACACTCGCCTGGCATGCATGCGGCCCGGGTTCGATCCTCAGCACCACATACAAACAAAAATGTTGTGTCCGCCAAATACTAAAAAATAAATATTAAAATTCTCTCTCTCTCTCACTCTCTCTTTAAAAAAAAAGACTTGATACTATACAATAAAGCATCAACAAAAGGTAGTCACCATGAATAGATGTTAAACCTCAACATTAATCAGGGAAACATAAATTTAAACTATGATGAGATAATCTCCACATGCCCCCCTTAGAAAGGCTAAATGTTAAAGAATAGTAATATAACTGTTGGTGACAATGCAGAGCAATTGAAATGCTCATACAATACAGGAGGAAATGTAGACTGGTACCACTTTCAAAAACTGACAAATCTCTTGGAAGACACATCTAAGAATTTGCAATATTACAACAGGCAAACACTGAAAGCAATACACATGCTTAATTACAACAGTATAGATAAATATATTGTAATATTCATTCAATGGAATATGAGGAATAGAAAATGAATAATTACTGTTATGTGGAGCAACCTGGGTGAATCTCACATATATACTGTTGAAGAAGCAAGGCAAAATGATGCATGTAGTTTGATTTTATTTATGCAACATTTTTAAAAGACAAAGTGAAACTGTATTGTTTACACCATTACATCAAGCTTAGTGTTATGGGGAGCTGCCTCAGAAAACACTCTAAGTCCAAATTCAAATCAAAGAGATCTTTATTTACCTGGCCAGGGACTGTCACCCACCCATAGAGACTGAAGCTATGTAAGAGAACAGCAATTTCCTGGCCTGTGGCTTGGGAATTTAAGGACACAAACCACAGCTCAGGGGCTTTCCTTAGCATCATGCAAGCAAGTCAATCATAGAAGCTAAGATAGCAATTAGCACAGCACCTCAAGACAATCGCATCTCAGACTTGAGCAGGTGTTAGACAACCATATCCTGAGTTTTCAAGAAGATGGTTAGTAGGAGGCGAGAATCTAGTGCAAAGTCTTGGATCACCAAGGCCACCATATTCTGGGTTGAATACATTTTGTAGGGTACTAAGTACAGAAAACAATACATTATAAGAAAACAGCCTTTATTTCAGTTTCTCAGAAACAGCTCTTGTAACAGTGTTTTATAGAAGGCAGCACAATGAAGTCTTAGGGCTGTCTATGACAGTTCTTGCTTAATAATTGCCTTATCTCACTTAACAAAATCTTATATCTCTAATATATATTTTTTACTAATCTAGAACCTATAACTTACACTCTTATTGACTGTATTTATCAGTTCACACCACAACATTCCCCACTGGTTTTATGAGACTAAATCAAATCATTGTTTATTTAAGTTTCATGTTATCTAAGTTGACCATGTCATAATCATATTTTTCAAGGACCAGCAGTCTAATCTTTAAAAGCAGGCTTCCTGTCTTTTTCTGGCCTCAGGAATTTCCAAGTACAGCTGGGTGCAGTGTGCATGTCTGAAAGGAAAACAAAACAGAAAGTAAAAATCTAGGGTACTGTTCATCGTTGGTTGTCCTCGGCTGTATCTTCTGTTGGAGCGGGCTTCTTGATTTGGAAGTGATGAATCCAGTGTTGTTTTCCAGTGACTTTTACAGCAGTAGAAGTGGTCAGGATGGCTGGAAAGCGTCTGTGCCCGCGAGGTTCCAAGGTAAATGGATAATGGCTCGGCTGGAATAGGTGAGTGAAGTTCTCTCCAGCAACTAGCTGCCGGACTCTTTGTTAAAGCCTGAGTCTGTGGGAGGCTTGCTGGAGAGCCTGGAAGGACTTAAGAAATGAGTGGTCACTTATTTCAGCTAGTTTTTTTATCTTTTAGTCTGGGAACCAGCAGGGGTGGTCTTAGAACAAAGGGAAAAAGAAGACCCGTCCAGTCTATGCCAATCTCCAAGTGTAATTAGTCAGGGTGTCTTTTAGATTTCTATTTATCCTTTTTACTTGTCTTAAACTCTATGGCCTATATACAATGTGCGTCCCATTTAATTCTAAAGACTTTAGAAAATTTTTGAGTTATCTTAGCTATGAAAGCTGGGCCATATTGGACCCATGGCTACTGGGAGGCCAAATTGAGGAATTATCTCCTGAATAAGTGTCCACATATATCAGCAAATATTTATAACCATATTGTCTAGGTTTTACTTTAGTGAAGTCCACCTCTTATTTTTCTCTTGGTGTTTTTCTTTATAGAGATGTCCCTGTCTGTACATGAACAGTAGCAAAACCATACCCACTTCAGTATAGATATTAATAGATTTTCCTTTGCCGGGTCTGAGAGCCTAGGTAAGTGCAATTAGCTCTGCCTTTTGTGCAGAAGTTCCAAGTCCCAGAGGTTGAGCCCAGACAACTTCATTTAAAGTAACTTCAGCTGTCCCCACATACCTGATTCCATTTTGGACGTAGCTATTGCCATCAGAGTAGCATGTCTCATCTGGGTCTGGCCACGGTGTGTCCATCAGGTCCCACTGGACATTCTGGAGTGACTCCAAGATTTCCTGGCAGTCGTGCAGTGGCCCAGAGGGATCATCATCAGTCTGAGTTCGCATCCTTTTGCTATTCCCCTGATTTCATGTACAAACAGCTGAAATGGCTTCAGAACATCTGAGAGGGCCAATGCAGGTGCAGAGACTAGGGCTTGCTTACGTTTGTCAAATGTCTCTTGTTTTTGTTTGTTTGTTTGGGTTTGTTTTTTCAGTCCAAGTCAGAGAGTCCTTTTTCCCCCCCTGTACTAACATACAGGGGCTGGGCTAGTTCAGCAAAACCAAGGATCTAAAGGTGGCAATACCTAATAGCCCCGAGGAATTCTCGAACCCGACACTTAGTCTTGGGGCGAGGAATCTGCATGATTGCTTTAATTCTGTCCTGCGACAAAGTCCTTTTTCCTTCTTTCAGGTGGTAGCCCAAGTAGGTGGCTGTTGAGGTGCACAATTGGGCCTTTCTAGCTGACACCCGGTACCCTAAGGTCTTGAAGGTTTCTAACAAGTTGCTGGTGGGCTGTTCACATTTAGTCATAGTTTGGGTTGCTGTCAGGAGATCACTTACATATTGTAAAAGTTCAGTCTCAGGGTGTTGCTGCCTATAAGCTGTGAGGTCCCAGCTTAGGGCCTCATCAAATAGAGGTGGAGAGTTTTTAAATCCTTGTGGCAACTGTGTCCAAGTCAATTATCCTAAAAATCTCCCTTCTGGATCTGACCATTTAGAAGTAAAAATTGGTTGGCTTAGCTTAGCCGATGGCAAGTTGAAGAAGACATCTCTGAGATCCAGGAGAGTGTACACTTGGCGAAAAGGAGGCAATGAACTGAGAAGAGTGTAGGGATTTGGTACCGTGGGTTGAATGCTTTCCATCCTCCTGTTGACTTCTTTTAGGTCCTGTACCAATCCGTAGTCTTTTGTCTCAGGTTTCTGGACAGGCAGCAATGGCATGTTTTAGGCTGATTGACAGGGGATCAGTATATCAGCTTCCCTGCAACCTGTGGATGTGAATGCTGTGACTTTTTTAGCTTCCAGTCTGATAGGATAGTGTCGGATCTGCACAGGGGTGACAGTGCTATTGAGCTGCACTATACTAGGTGGCAGGTGCTTCGCTAAGCCAGGAGAATTGGATTCTGCCCAAACCCCTGGGATTTTTTTTTTTTTAATCTGGTGAGATCAGAAGGTGGGGTACAGGGGTCTTTTGTTAAGAGCAGGTATTCTTCCTCAATTGGACAAGTGTGTGTGTGTGTGTGTGTGTGTGTGTGTGTGTGTGTGTACATATATATGCATATAAAAGCTTCTGGCCCTTTTAATGACAGGTTGGCTGTGCCTCACAAGGAACACGTGAGTTATCCTCCCTTTTTTAAGTCAGTTCTCATTAGAAATTGGCCCCTTAGTTTCCATTCCTGGGGGCTATTGTTATTTAGGGAGTAGAGCTCTTGGGGGTTGTTGTCCAGGGGCTTGAGGCCTTAAGGTGCCTTGAGACTCTGACATAGCCATCACCGTGACTCTTGTCAACCTTTTAGCCTGTTTTTCTTTGTTGGGGGGTCTCTGCTATTATAGACCCTTTAGGCTATTTCCACCCATTTTGACAGCATCTTTCCCTTGAATCCTTCCTGTCTCTGTAACTTTTTCCTAATATCTGGGGCCGATTATGTTACAAAAGCAATATTAAGAGTGCTTCTATTCCCTGGAGCCTCCGGGTCCATGGGTGTGCACACATGATAAGCCTTGAGAAGGCACTCCAGGAAAGCAGTCAGGGGCCCATCTGGTCCTTGAAATGTCTCACTTACCTTTGCCAAATTGGTGGGGTTTCTACTGGCTGCTTTGATCTCTCTCAGTGGAGCCTGGCGTACTGATCAGTCCCCTCCATACTTGTGTTTGTCCAATGGGAAGAATTGGAGGGAAAATGAGTTCCACGTGAGCTGGATCATCAGAGGGTTGGCCATCAATGCCTAGAGAGTAGTTTGGGGGCTTTTCTTTTGATTTTAACAGAGAAAATATTAGTAGAAAAAGGAACATATATTATGAAAGGGCTTCCTCTTTCTCCCGATGTGGTAGGGGGAGCCTGACAGAGGGGAAGTGTAGGGGTATAGGATGGGAAGGCTTGGGCATCGAGGGGGTACTAGGCACCTGAGGGACAGAGGGATCCAGGGGAGGAAGATCCGGGTCCTAGGAGCTCTCTGGTAGGACCTGTTTCTTCAGGGAGGAAGGTTTTGTTAGCAAGACAAGTTTTGGTTTGGGTTTTTTAGCTGTTCCTGTAAGGCAAAATCTTAACCATCTTGGCTCCTCTAGGAGGATTTCAATCCAAACCTGTATATAGGGCAACTGATCCGGATGGCCAGGCCACCCGGAGATGACCCTATGAACTTGATAGGAGGTGGAGAGGCCGGTGGTCCCTTCTGGGGGCCATCCGACTTAAAGCCTGGCCAGTCTAATTCACCAAGTTTTCTGAGAGAGGAAGCATGACATGATGTTTTATCATTAGTTGTTCTCTTTGAAAACTCTTTAAAGTTAGACAAAAAAAACATTTAAGGGGTTTACAAAACGAACATGGAGTAGACTGATTTTGACCCATAATGAGACTGAGACCAACAGTGAGACACACAACAGACAAGGCGCCATAAACAAACCTAATTGACCAGAGATTTAGATGGAGTTTCCAACCCCCAGGATTTTTAAACCCAGATGGGCCAGAGAGCAACGTCTCCACACTGCCCTGGACCGGGAAGTATGTGCTGCATCCAGCCTTACCTGACGTTCCCAGACTGTGGAGCCACACAAACCAAGTTCCAAGTTTCAAGCTTACCTAGTCGCAGGTGCAAATTGCAAATGCCCTCAAATAGGCAGTTTGCAGGTTTGGGAGGAGCCAATGAGGAGAGGACCCAGGGCTGGGGAGTTCTCCTCAGAGGCCTTCCCCAGCTTGTCTCTGACTCACCAGGTCTCTTGGGTGTTTCTGAGCATTCTCTCATTTCTGAGAAGAGAAATATCTCTTTCATCCCAAACAAGCCCCCAAGGGGTTATTGGGAGCTGCTTCAGAAAACTCTCTATGTCAGAATTCAAATCAAAAAGAGCTATATTTACCTGGCCAGAGACTGTCACCCACCCATAGAGACTGAAGCTATGTAAGAGAACAGCAATTTCCTGGCCTGTGGCTTGGGAATTTAAGGACACAAACCACAACTCAGGGACTTTCCTTAGCATCATGCAAGCAAGTCAACCATAGAAGCTAAGACAGCAATTAGCACAGCAACTCAAGACAATCGCATCTTGGGTTTGAGCAAGTGTTAGACAACTGTATCCTGAGTTCATGCAGGTGGTTAGCAGAGGCGAGAATCTACTTCAAAGTCTTGGGTCGCCAAGACCACCATATCCTGGGTGGAGTACATTTTGTGAGGTACAAAGTACAGAAAACAATATATTATAAGAAAATAGCGTTCATTTCAATTTCTCAGAAAGAGTTCTTGGAACAGTTTTTTTTATAGGAGGCAGCAAAATGGAGTCTTGGGCCAGTATATGACAGTTCTTGCTTAATAATTATCTTATCTCACTTATCAAAATCTTATATCTCTAAATTTTTTACTAATCTATAACCTATAACTTACACTCTCATTGACTGTATTTATCAGTTCATACCCCAACACTTAGAAAAATGGTTTCCTTCTAGAGATGAGGAAGCATTTTTGATGAGAGGAGGGAGGGGACACTTGGGGACTTCTACAATGATTGCAATATTTTATTTCTTGAACCTAATGGTATTTATATGAGTAGTTGCTTTATAATTCGGCTGACAATAAGCATATGTGTTTTACCTGCTATTCTGTAGTTACATGGCATTTACAATAAAACATCAAAGTTCAAGATCTTAAAACCAGGATGTATGAAAGAGAAACAGATGTGTACTTATGCCTATTTTTTTTAATGTGGCCTAAATATTTGAGCCGTACTTAGGGTTATCAGAATAGCTGCAGGTTAAACAAACAAACAAAAAAAAAAAAACAAACCTTAAGGAAATACATCAAAGAGTAAACTGGAAGTCCTTCCAGGAGTCAGTAACAGGTGAAGCAGGGGTGCCTATGGTGAGACCCTGGGCCACCACTCAATAGTTCCCTAATTAAAGTTATAAAATGCCCTCCACTGTCTCTGCATAGTGTATAGTATATAGTGTCTGTGAAAAAGCGTTTGCTTGTTTTGTGCATAACTCTTTATTCAGGAAGTCTACTGTACTTCTAGACAATTCACTGGGACTGAGGAGGATCCGGCTCAGGCAAGGGTGGGATTAACATAGAGTTTTAAGCCTGGGCTTGGCTCACTCAGATCTTTCATCAGTGAGACTCCCAGGGACTAGGGCAGCACAGCCAGCCCAGGCCACTCTCCTCTGCAGGTCACCTCGCCGCTGCTTTCTCCCTTTCCCTTCACCAGGGCTTGAGGTATATTTTGTGGGGTGGGAGGATATAAACCATAAAACTTGAATCATTTAGAGAATCATTTGTGAAGGTTCTGTAATGTAGTTTGTAAACTCATGCACACACAATTCGGGCAGAGGGAGGCTGACTCTTCTCACTTCAGGCCCCCAAATGAGAACTTGGCCCTAAATTCAGACCCAGGAACTGTGGTCCAGATGGTGCAGAGACACGCCAGCCATTGGCCATAATTCTGGCACGCCTGCCACACTTCCGGGACACAGGCCACACTTCCGGGCCCTAAGCGTTCTCGCGAGATTTGTAATGTTTGACATAGACACCGCTATAGCTGATGCTGCTGGTTTTCGAACCTTCATGGTAGGGGATGCTAGTTCGGAAGCCAGGGTCCCTGCAGCGTCTGGCTGGGGCAGAGGACAGAAGGCAGAGCATTCAGGCACCCGGATTAGGGTATTTAGCAAAAGATAAAATCCAGGATGCCCAGTTAAATTCGCATTTCAGATACGCCAGGAACAAACTATTAGTAGATGATACTGACTTTAGTGTAGGGTACTTGTACTAAGATCGTCTCTCACCTGGAATTGGAAGTGCACTGATGCCATAGTTCAAATGCAGCTGTGATTCCGCAGCCCGCCCCAGCTCCCGCCCTGAGGCAGCCCCAGGAGCTGCTGACTGTTTGCCAGAATTAGGAATTGGGGGATAAAGCGAGAAATACTGAATCCCAGGGGAAACACCGATGAACCACCACAGCCAGGAACAACTGGAACTCACGAGCACGTGCCCTTGACGCATCCCATGTAACTTGAGGGCAAAGCTCAACCAGCCCCAAATTAGGTAGCTCTACCCTGGCTCCACCTCTAGTCCAGAACCTAGAAACAGCCCTCCGTAAGTATTAACACCCCACAGGAAGGAATTGCTGTCTTTTCCCCTGGCGATAGCCCCATTCTCCCTTGAGTAAGTATCTACTTTCATAAATAAACCTCTGTCTATGCCTTTGACTGGAGCATGCTGAAAATCCATCACCGTTGGTCGTCAGTTCCCCCTTCTCCCTGGAAACTACTTGGACTCTCCTTCAGAGACAACTTTCCCGCACCCCCAGAGGCGGGGGTTGTGCTGGACCCAGAACATTTAATAACAATTATTTATATTTAGACTTTTTTCACCATTTACAACAGAATTGTGAAAAACAAGCTTGAAACACACAAGAAGAAAAGGCTTCAAAAAACACTAAGCCTCAGAGCAATGAGGCTGGAGGTGTTCGTTTTCAGAACCAGGGCCCCTGAGCTCCATGACCTCAGACCTTTTTTTCCTCCTGACCTGTGTAACTGGTCGAGATGTCACAGGTACACCTGCTGGGTGGTGGCAGGGGAGTCCACAGGCTCTGAAATCACATGGCTTCGTATTGGTTCTGAATTGCTCATTACATAAGCCGTGGCCTAGGCTGTGAATCTTATCTCAGGTGGTTGGTGAGTTTGGGTCAATGAATTTTGTTGTTGTTCTTTTGTTTTGCTCTTGCATTCAGCACAGGGACAGTGCAAAATGAAAGAAAAACAGTGGAAGCCATATTTATTAAACAGCTTAGCAATAAGAAGATCATAGAGGTTAAGATTGACCAAGTTTGAAAGGGAAAGAGATTTACTTTGAATATACTTACCTCAAATACACTTAAAGTTTGGAATCTGAAAGAGAGAACTCTGTTAATATGACTAGATCGTGGATGATGCCAAGTCCAAGAAAGACTCAGCAGAAAAAGAGGCAAGTTATCAGAGGAAAATGGAGATAATTTCCAAAGCCCAGACCCAGAAAACCATGGACAGTTGCCTTCCTAAAAGCTATAAGACAACTGCAAGACCATCCCACCCCTCTCTCTCTCTCTTCCCATGTCCAGACCTCAAGCCGGCATAGTTCTATGGAACCATAATACAGTTTGGGACAGAATTCACTCAGCACTTAATCAAGCAATTACTAAATACCCAAGCACTATTCAGATAAATCAGAATTCCCTCCTTTTCTGTCTTAGAACTGGCAGATTCCTAAGAACTAAGGCAAGAAGTGATTTAAAAGCAAATAAATGAAAAACAGGATAGTGAGAAGAGAGTAGAGAGAGGCTAAAAGGAAGGGTTATTATTTTATTTAAGGAAATTAAAGAAGTCCTGTCTAATAAGGATATTTGAGAGAGATAGAAGAGATAACAGGAGCCATAGTCCAGCAGATTGTGTTTAGGGAAAAGAGGCCACCAGAGCCAAAGGTGGCATTTGAATTTTTGGAGGAATTCTTCAACAACTCTGTAAAGCATGTTTTTTTAAGAGAGAAGGGAAGAACATGAGCTAAGGAATTAATAAAATTGTTCAGTCAACAAATAGTAAGGCTCTGAACCCATGGAAGTGATAGGAAGTAGGAGAAAGAAGGCCACATGAGTTTAGGCGTGTGCTGAGTTCTCCTCCTGTGCCCTGCACCTGATAGAGAAGCAGGCAGGGGACTCCAGCCTTCAGGACAGCTGGGATGCCCAGGAGGTTTTATTTCCTAGGGCTGCTTTAAAAAATAAAACCCGTAATAAACCTATTCTTTTACAGTTCTGGAAGGGTCAGCAACACAATACCACGTTTCCTCTAAAGGCTCTCAGGAGAATCCTTTCCTGCCTCTCAGAGTTTCTATGGGTACCAGACTTTCCTCAGCTTGTGGCAGCCTTAAGCCAGTCTCTGCTTCTGTCTCCACGTGGCCCTCTCCTATGCCTCTGTGTCTCAGATGTCCCTCTGCCTCTCCCTTATAAGAATATCTGTCCTTGGGTTTATGGCCTACCCTATGTCTAGGATGATCTAGTAATATAGTTTAGTTTAGGTGTTGTGTTTAGTTTTGCCTGATGAGTTCTTAACCCAGTTTTGAGGCCCTGGCTGGTGGTAAATCCATTTCCCTTCTTGAGCAGATGAAGCCCACACTCCAGACCACTGTACACTTGCCCTAACAGCTCCAGGGCCCCAGATACCAGCTGATTGGGGAGAACCCATGTGTCCCCAGAACCCTTGAAATTATTCAAATTAGCCAATCCACAGGGAGCCCATGAGACCTACCTAACTCCAGGGCACTTGCCACACATGAGCTCTCCTAGCTGTACCCCATCTCCAGACACCCAGTATGGCCCATCTGACAGGCTTCTCTAGTTCAAAGCTGTAAATACTAAAAAGTTCTGCCTTCCATCGATCTTCATATCATTGTGTCATATTCTATCATCAAAAGAAACTTCAAATCTTCCACAACAGATCTCCTCTCCAGATCCTTAATTACATCTGCAAAGGTCCTTTTCTCCAAATACACACTCGCAGGTGGACATGTCTCTTGGGGTGCTACATTTCAACCCACGGCACCCTCTTTGAGAAGGCTGACAGCAGTTCTTAACTGGCTGGTGAGAGAGTGCAACTATGGACTTTGGTCTTGGGGACATAGACTTGAGACAGAGGACAGCAGAGGCCCTGGGATTCTGTGGGATCTAGGACTGTTGGCTAATTACACTAGGAGTTAGTAACCTTCTGAACAAAAACTGGATAACAGCAGAGGCTTAAATTCAACACCCCAATTCTACCCATAGAAATGAGGGAGAAGGCAAATCACTAGATAGACAAAGGAGAAGACACTTGCTTCTTGTTATTTGGTCGTTCTGGGCTCTTACCTGACGCTCCTGAGGGAAATGTAGAATTGGGTTCCTGAGAACCACTGGCCACAACATTTTGGTAATCTGATTGATGCATGACCTTGTGTTTTTACTGTCTAAAGACATTTTACTTAGTATATATTGTTGATTCATTAACATTGAATTCACAACCAACGGCATTATATCTCAGGGCTGAATGAAGCTTACCTACCACTTGCATTTCTCTGTAAGGAGTACTGCAGGCTTCTTGCTGTTAGGAACAGTACATGGCACTTCAACAGCCTGTTTGGGAGCTGTTTCAAACAGCGAAGTCCCCGGTGAAATGCCCAAAAAAATATGAACATGGCAAAATGGACCTCAAAAAAGAACACTTTTTTAGTAAAAGCTGAAATAAGCAGGCAAAGTGTAACACAGAGAAAGAGACTGAAGAGAGAAGAAGATCAAAAGAGAGAAATCGAAAGGGCTTCCCAAATCTAGTTAGTTTATAACTGAGCAAATAATGTTGGGAAACGAAACTGGTGAGGGAGGAGGGGAGACTGCCACCGTGTGAGCCTGCCCGGGAGGAGCTGCATCCGGGCAGAGGCAGTGGGCAGCTGGACCTCAGAAAGTTTTCTTCCCCTCCCCCTCCTCTTTTCCTTCCTTTCCTCCCAGCCAAGAGGACAGCTTTCCTCTTGGGAGAGAGCCAAGGACACAGGTCAGTGGCTGCATTACAGGAAGAACCACCGTGTTCATAGACAATGCCTTGAAGTGTGGCCTCCAGGAATCTCGTCCACCTTCCCTGGGCTGTTGCCACTCTGGCGCTGGCCCCCTACTCTGCCCACCCCTCCTTCCTCCTCCTCCTCCTCCTGTGCCTCTTCTGGAGGAAGTGGTGTGATAGCAAAGCACCTCTGGGAAGAGGGTGGTGGCTTCTGGTTGGTCTGGAACCAGTGGCCTCTCACCCACCTAGAGAATTGTCACCTCATCTCCTGGAACAACATCAGCTTTGGTTGCCAAAGGGTGAAAGATCAGGCTTGAGATCTCCATTCTCCCACTCATGCTAGGAAACTAGAGGCCACTGAGTCTGCAAAACACCCTTGAACTGTGACTAGTCATGAGTGAGGACCTAGAGGGCATGGAACAATGATGCTGGGATCCCTGCGAGGTCCCACAATGGCCGTGTCCTTCTTCTCTGTGTCTCTCCTCCTGGAGCATGAACACAGCATCCCAGTGTTTAAGGATTTTCAAATATTAGGACAGAGAAGAGCAACTATGACCTCCCTCCACCATTGCAGGGACTCCAGAGGTAAAAAGGTGCATTCCAAGTGAAAGGTAGGTAGGCAACAGAGACACACTGAGACTGATTCCAGAGCTGTCTTCTTTGGTCATATTTTGATAAAGCCATGAATTCTGTGTCTTTTGAAATGCTCTCTGGAGCCTGCTGCCAATCTCTGAACTTGGAAACTAACTCAACTGACCTCTGCCCCTGGGGCAGAGATCTGTCCCATGGTCCCAATCTAGGTCTTCACAGCGAGAGACATTCGGAGCCCTCATTCTCTGAAGTGGACAACCTCGCCTCCTGCCACACACCTGTCAGGACTCCGGAGACCCCAACCCGCCCAGGCACACCATGGCGGACAAGAAGGGTCAGGACATAGAAGCATGGAGGCAGGTATTCCAGATGTTAATTCAGGAGGTGAAACCATGGCACAAATGGACCCTCACAGCAGACAAGGGCCTTCTTCCCAACGTCCTGCAGCCGGGCTGGAAGCAATACCAGCTGTGGACTTTCGCCAGGTGAGAGGGGAATGCTATGGTACATGTGCCAGAAAAATCCTTGCTTGTTTCTGACTGTGCACACTTGTCGCTCTTCTTGTTCCACCTCAAAATTGTGTCACTTGATAGAGGTCTGAAGAGGTTCCCCCAGTCGGGAGAGGGCGATCCCAAATCCACCCTGGAAGGTTCTTGACCTACATCACAGAAAAGAATTTGAGGATGAATCAGAAAGAGACCCAAGTGAGATTTGATTAAGAAAATAAGGGATACACAGGGAGAGAGAAAGAGTACAGGGTGTCTCAAAAATAAGACTTGCTTTGGGGGGGTCTAAGACTCTTCTTTCAAAGGAAACTGTATGAATGTGAGAAGTATATAGGAATGAGCTCAGTTCTTTTAATTACAGAGAAGAGGGCAGTTGGTGGTGGTCCAGTTCTCATCTTGTGGACATCTGGTTGATATCTGGTTAATAGAATTTGTACCTATATCATAGATCTCTAACAATATTTTTCCTTTGTTTAGTCTTAAAAAAAAAAAGAGGTCATATAAGCTAGCAATGTATGTAGGCATTAATACTCTAAGAATCATGGGATTTTAAAGAATTCTGGCCTGGGGAGCAAAAGTGAAGGTATTCGCGGACCTTCTTAGATTTGAAGTGTTAATCTCTTTTTCCTTCTGTTTATTTTTTTCTTTATTCTCGCTTGCACTTATTAAAGACTACAAAAAGAAAGAAGCCCATCCATCAAGTTTTGACTTCATGAAATATCTTCTTTCCCATCAGGCATGGTGGTGCATGCCTGTAATCCCAGAAACTCAGGAAACCCAGACAGGAGGATCATGAGTTGAAGGCCAGCCTGAGAGACTTAGTGAGACCCTGTCTCAAAATAAAAATAAAAAAGGGCTGGGAATGTGGCTCTGTGGGTTCAATCCCTAGTACCCCCCACCAAAAATCATTTTTCTCTATATAATTTCAGGCCTCAGCACTGGTTTGGGCTAATGTTCCGATAAAGAATTCAGTCTGCAGAGGTGGCAGGGGAGATGGGAGATGGGAACAGGGAGGAGGAATGGCAGCTGTTTCACTAAAGGGATGTGACACTTGTTCCCTGCCTTGGGAGACTGGGGGCCCACCTGGGTTTCGTGCAAGGAGACCCCTCAGGGAGAATCCAGAGGAGCAGGGTACTGAACAACTCACATCAATCCTGCCCCCCTCTACTCTATGCTGATAGAATCTTTTAAAAATAGGACTCTGGGAGATCACCCAACATTTCACCCTTTCTTTTATACATGGGAAAATGGGGCCCCAAGACCTGGGGAGGGGGAGGGGAGAAGGGCCCTGCCCACTACACAAGGAGTGGAGTCCTGGGATAAATCCTGCCTCCTGCCCTCTCTGGGAGGGTCCAAGCAGAGGAGGCGGAGCTTCTCCTGGCCAGAGCAGGCATGGGGAGCCCCTGACCAAACTTTCAATCCGTTTATTTAGAAGAACTTGGAACTCTGGGCTAGCACATTGTGAAGTGAAGCCAGAACACCATGACCAGGCCAAGGCAATGAACGGGCAGCTCAAGGTGGCCCAGTCCCCTGTGCAAAGCCAACTCATGCTGACTTCCAGCTTGTGGACATCCCAAGGCTCAGAGCTTCTAGGAGTCTTCCCCAAGGCTCATCCTCAGGTCCATCCCGGTGTGGAAGAGTCCACACTAACTTATTCTGCTCATTCCCCTCTAATTCCCCATCTCAAACTGCCGGCACCCCTGCATCAAGGCCAGCAAAGCTGGGCTCAGCTGCTGTGACAATACACCTAGATTGAACCTTGCACATGGCTCCCAAGTTCCCTGAGGGGAGAGCTGGAGAGGTAGAAAGAGCACATCACTGCTGCCCATACTCCATGGACCATCTGGTCCCAAGGCCCCCACCTAACTGCAAGAGGGGCTGGAAGTGGGAGGGCGAGCACAGATGTCTCTGCCATGCTGTGGCCCTCTGCCTGTCCTATAATTCCTGTCATGGGTGTACCACGTGCTTCCTGCCTTCTTTCTCTCCCAGTCCTAAGAGGTACTTGTGCAAATATCTGAACTCAGAAAATTACCCTCCTTCCTGAGACACGGTGTTGTTTCCTTGAACCCTGTTGGAGGCCAAGGCAACATTCTCCAGACTACCTTGAGCCAAGGAATGGGGTTGAGGGGAGCAAAAGAAGACAGTGTTGCAGACAGTGATCTCCCCTGATGCTGTAGATCAGTGGCCCTGGGCAACCAAGGACCGGCAAAGCTTCTCTCTAGGACAAGGACTTTTCAGTCTCTCTCCCTGATCTATCTGGAGCTTTGTGACCTAACCAACACCCACTGTTGTCACTCGTGGACTTCAGCAGAGGGATCTTGGGAGTTGCTGCTCTGGTAGCCTTTGACCTGTTGGAATCTGTTTGAAGGATCCTTGGCTCAGGGTCAAGAGACTGGAGCTCCAATCCAGCCTCTTGTATTCAATGGGCTCTAGAGCATGGAGCTCCCAGAGGTGCCCCCATCTCTAATGAGGGCACATTGGACTTAGAAGGTGCCCAAGGTCCCATTCCCAGCCCAGACGGTTTGTGATAGACCATTTTGATCACAGCACTGTGCACTGGAGATGAGAACAAGGAGCTCAGTGGTTTCTTCCATTGCTAGTCCATGACCCCAACCCAGTCATGTGTCTGTTGTGTTCAGTGACTCCTTCCTCCCTCAGCAGCAGCCCATACTCTGGCTGAAGTTCCCATCTTCTATCTCCACAGGTTCCAGTGTTCTTCCTGCTCTCGCAGTTGGGCCTCTGCCCATGTCCAGGTCCTTTTCCACATGCACTGGAGTGAGAAGAAGCACAGGGGCCAGGTGAAGATGAGGGTCTTTGCCCAGAGATGTAAGAAGTGCCCCCAGCCTCCATTTGAGGTCCCTGAGTTCACACAGGAGAACATCTCAAGGGTCCTGAATAACCTGGTGATCCGGATTCTGAAGAAATGCTACAGAGAAGGATTCAAGATTGCAGAGGAGATTCCTGCGATCAAGGATATCTCTCTTCAAGGGCCACATGACAGTCAAAACTGTGAGGCATGTCTGCAGGGAGCCTGTGCTCAGAGTGGGTTGGGCCTGGCCAAGGAGTCACCAGTGCCCACACCCTCCAAGGATGCTGGGGAACCCAGGCTAACTGCTGCTTGTACCAATCTCCCCTGCTCACAATCAGCCTCTAGAGTGGACAAGATCCTTACATCAGCAGTAAGCCTCAAAGTCTCTAACCCTCCCAAGGCTGACCCCAAGGTCAGACACAGCTCAGAACCACCAACTGCTCCAAGAATTCTAAACCCACAGGTGCCACCCATGTCAACAGTGAGCCCCCAAATCTCTAACCCTCCCAAGGCTGACCCCAAGGTCAGACACAGCTCAGAACCACCAACTGCTCCAAGATGTCTAACCCCACAGGTGTCACCCAGGTCCACAGTGAATCCCAAAGTCCCTGACTCTCCCAAGGCTGACCCCAAGGTCAGACCCAGCTCAAAACCAACAACTGCTCCAAGATTTCCAACCCAGCAGGTGCCACCCAGAAGCTCACCTCCCCCTGTGCGGGCCACTCGAATGCCTTCTCCCACAAAGAACAACACAGCAACAGATGCAGCAGCCAGGGTCACCAGACCAAAGGCAGGAAATCCATTGCCCTCCTCCTCCTTGCTGGCTTTGCCCATCAGCCCTACAAACTTCCCCACTTCTTGGAGCCCAGAAGCAAACACCACTTGCCAGATGGAGAGTCGAATCCAGATCTACCCCGAAAGTGGGCATTTCTATTCCAGCCCATCCCGGAATTGCGTACCAGGGCGCTTAAGCACTTCCTGCTGTTGTCTCCTTCTAATCATTGTTGTCGTGGTCACAATGATTATGGTAAAAAATACTTTCTGAGCCTCAAAAACCTGACACTAAGTGAAACAAGAAATTAAAATCTGGACATGAAATGTCACATGTTAGTATGATCCCTGTGATATGAAATGTCCAAAAAATCCACAGATAGGAAGTAGATGGGTGTCTACTGGGGCCTGCAGGAAGGAGGAAACGAGAAGCGAGTTCTTAATCCTTATGGGGGCTTTGTTTGAGATGGGGTGATGAATCTGTTTGGGAATGAGATGGAGCTGGGGGTTGCACCACAGTACCAATAAACTAAAAGCCACTGAATTGGTCATTTCAAAAAGTTTAATTTTGTGATGTGACTCTCACCTTGATATTTTAAAAAGCACTATAGCTTTTTTCATTCTTGAGAGAACTGAATCTGAAGTGGTTAGAACTCAGAAATTTGGAGATCTTATGAAACCTGTGAGCCTTTTTACCAGTAAATTTTGCACAAATCCTCTGATATCAGTCTGTGGAGGCATTTGCAGTAAAGGTTTTAGGCTGAAAACCCAGGTACTCAAAACACAGTGGGTGGGGCTGGGGTTGTGGCTCTGTGGTAGAGCACTTGCTGGGCATGTATGAGGCCCTGGGTTCTCAGCATCACATATAAATAAATAAACAGAGTAAAAGATCCATTTACAACTAAAATATATATATATAAAAGACAGTGGACTCCACAGGGGTGCGTACAGCTTAGGAGTAAGGCAAGATGAGACACTGGGGAGGGAGATATATCCTTAAAAGTCCATTTAAGGGGCTGGGGTTGTGGCTCAGTGGTAGAGCGCTTGCCCAGCAGGCATGAGGCACTGGGTTCAAGCCTCAGCACCACATAAAAATAAAATGATGATATTGTGTCCACCTAAAAATAAAAATAAAAGTTTATTTGTTTCATTTAAAATGTATTTCTTGTAGCATGTTTATAGTATGCTAATATATTAAAATTATATCGTAAATATTCATGTATGCATGAATTATACATATGCACACATTTGGAATGTACACTTGATGTCTTTTATTGACTGTATTATGCAATAAAAAATGTTGAGGGGAAACTGGGTGCATGTCTGCAATCCCAGCTACTTAAGAGGCTGAGGGATTGCAAGTTTGAGGCTAGCCTCAGTGACTTAGACTTATATTCTGTCTCAAATTAAAGTAAAAATTAAATTTTTAAAAAAGTTGGGGATAGGGCAGCTAAGCACAGTGGCACATACCTATAATCCCAGAGGCTTGGGAGGCTGAGACAGGAGGATCACAAGTTCAAATTCAGCCTCAGCAACTTAGAAAGACCCTGTCTCAAAATAAAAAATAAAAAAGGGCTGGGGATGTAGCTCAGTGGTTAAGTGCCCCTGGTACGAAAAAACAAAAAGGGGGTGGGCCATAGGGATGTAGCTCTGGGTTCAATCCTCAATACCACACTTGCAAAGTGTGTTTAATTCATATGGAACAATAATGACCAAGACTTGATGAGCAAGTTATGAAAAAATAGCCACAGGTAGGTCTTGCCTTAGCAGACATCAACGCTGTGATTAGAACATACGATGCTAGCACAGAGTCAGTGGCCTTGCAGAGCAAGCCAGAGCTGAGAACCAGCGCCAGCCAGTGCAGGCTGAGGACAGGCTATGGAGAGCTGAGAGGGGCCCCTGCAGGGTGGGTCCCTATGCTTGCAGAGCAGGAATGCAGTGGGCTGGACAGGACCTTGTTGGGGCTTGAGTTCAGACGTAGTCAGGACCTCCCAGGTCTATTCCACTTTTGCTCAGCCCATGCTCTGCGGCATTGTTAGTTCCAAGGTGAGGTTTTCTGGTGGTCTCTCCTGGAAGCCCAGAGCTGTACCAAAGTCACCCAGCCCCACCTGACTGGGCTTTCCTTTGGGTTTCTGACCTCCTAGCATTGCATAACTACCAAAATTCCAGCTCTAGCCTTTAACCTCCAGCTACTATGTTCATTTTTTCTTGGAACAGCACCCTGTGAGTGCACATCTTGGGAATCAGCCAACTGACATGGGGGAGGGTGGAATGGAATGCAGACTTTGGGGCCTCTTCTCTCTGTAGTTCCCTTCTCCCTGGGATTTCACCTTCAAATTCCAGGGGCTGACATAGGCTCAAATTCTGACTTCTATCTCCTTCCGTCAAACAAAACTCCCTCTTTCTGCTTTGCTTTATTCCTTGGTTGAAATTTAGAAAGTCTCAAGCAAAACCAAGGTGTCTAGGACTTACCTCATGTGTGTTCCCCTTCTAAGGACTGCTCCATGGAGCCCACCCATACTAAGCACTCTCCAATGCTCTCTAACATTTTTCTTGGTTTTGCCCAGATTCTGATGGCTCTTTTTAGTGGAATTGGTCCAATCCTAGCCACAGCCAAAATCTGAAAAGGTTTTGGAATTGTTAGTATAAAATCTCAATAGAGTTCTCCAGCTCCTCACCTGCAGGGTGCCCTCTACCACAGGAGTAGAGATGAACTCTAAGCCAGCTCAGATCATTCTCCCTTAAACATTACCTTCATCTAGGGCAGTCGCATCAAGATAGAGACTCTCAGCCCCAGATGCAATTTAACATTTTCCAGTGACCAAATTTTTAAAAGGAAAAAAAAAAAAAAAACAGGTGAAACTTATTTTTTAACCATTTTATTAACCCAATGTATGAAAATACCATCATTTGAACATGTGATTAAGATCGAAATTCTTTATTTTATTTTATTGTGGTAGTGGAGATTTACTGTGGGGGTGTTTAACAACTGAGCCACTTCCCAGCCCTTTTATTTTTATTTTTTATTTGGGGACAGGGTCTCACTAAGTTGCTTAGGGCCTCACTAAGTCCTGAGGCTGGCCTCCAACTTGCCATCCTCCTACCTCAGCTTTCTAATCACTGGGATTATGGGCATGCACCACTGCACCTGGCTCAAGAGCAAAATTCTCTCTTTTTTTTTTTTTTGTACCAGGGATTAGACTCAGAAGCACTCATCTACTGAGCCACATCCCCAGCCCTAATTTGTATTTTGTTTAGAGACAAAGTCTCACTAAGTTGCTTAGCATTTTACCGTTTCCAGGTTGGCTTTGAACTCACGATCCTTCTGTCTCGGCCTCCCAAACTGCAGGGATTACAGGCATGTGCCACCATGCCCGGCTCAAGAGCAAAATTCTTAGTGAGATATTTTAAAGATATTCTTTTTCATACTAAATCTTTGAAATTGAATGTACATTTTACACTTACAGCACGATTTTTTCCCCCATAGGAAATACTGATCTGTTTAGACTTCATAAAACTTATAACTAAAGACAGATTTGCCTGCCATGTTGTTCTAAACATAATGACAGTTGTTCAATAGAATAGAGAACCCATTTAAATTTAAATATAAAGTAATATTTTTAGAATCTATGAAATTTAAATGTCAAGTAATATAGTAAAATCAAATTAAATAGCCTTTCTTCAGTCACACTAGCCAAGTGCTTCACAGGCATGTGAAGCTGATGACCACTATAATAAATGGCACAGATCTGGGACATTTGAATGAAAGGAGACTTCACGTTATTATTATTATCACCTGTCATAAGAATCCTCACTCAAGGGAACCACAGGAAGTTTCAAATATTTCTGATGGGGGCAATAATTGATTAGCATACATGATATTAGAAATGGCTTTTTGTGGACGAAATAAGTGGCGTTCATGGTATGCGGTTGTATAGGTACCTTCCCCTCCCCTATAAATGGGGTACGAGAATCTCAAGAGCCCAGGGTCCCCCACTTTGAGAAGGATGCTTGTGCTTAAAATCCTGGCCCTGTGTTCCCCACTGAGCAGAAGATCTCATGACCTATTAAGTTTCTGCCATCAGAGTAATAGTCAGTCGGCCTGGGTGGCAAGCTGAACCCAAAGACTCTCAGGCCAGGTGGCATGACTGGGAACATGCTCACCAATAATGAATGTTCATCCTTTGGCAGAATACACTCCCTATTGCTTGGTATCCAGTTCTGTGGAGAGCAGCCTTCTGCTGAGAAACACAAGGGAGAGCCTGGTTATTTGGGATGGTCAGACAGGTGCGGGTGAGACCCACACTGTTTACTGGGATATGTTTTCTTGAATTTGAGGAAGTCACAAAATAGTTTAATAGAAACACAGGGCTAGGAAGAGTTCAAGGTTAATGTAAGAAGTGGTTTTTCCTTAAAAAATAATTTGGTTATTATTCCTCAAAGGAATATCCAAGGAATTTCTCTCTCAATGTCAGTCTTTTATTTGTAGTCATTCCCATCTTCCTCTTTCTGCAAGCTCAGATATCACTCGTCAAATTCATGTCATACATAGCTCAGAACAGCCTTCTGAAGTAATCAGGGTTCTCCAGAGAAACAGCGTCAACAGGATGTATAGAAATCCATGAGGGAATCGATTATGGAAGTGGGCTCACGCGATTACAGAGGCTGAGGAGTCCCATGATCTACCGTCTGCAAACTGAAGAACTAGGAAGACAGAGATTTAATTCAGTCTAAGTACAGTCTAATTAGCTAATTAATTCCAGTTAAGAATCAGGGGATAGAGTTCAAATGGCCATCCCTAGGTCCAAAGTTCTGACAGTCCAAAGCTCTAATGTGCAAGGTCAGGAGAGCAGGAGCAGATGGGTGTCCCAGCTCCAGTGAATTCGCCCTTCCTCCTCTGGTTCATGCTAACCCGGCCCTCTATGGATTAGACGATGCTCCACCCCGACACTGGTGAAGACAGGCTTCTTTAGCCAGTCCATTGAGTCAAATGCCAATCTCTTCACAGAAATGATGTCTTCCCAGCTAGCTGGGCATTGGGTCAGTCAAGTTGACCTCTAACATGCCATCACACCTTCCTGGTCTAAACCTTTCCAGCTCATGTCTAACTAGGTCCTGAGCCTGTATTTCATCTCCTCAAACTTAGTAAGACGTAAGAAATGAGCAAGTATTTTCACAATTTTTACTCTTTTTTTTTTTTTTAGTTTTTCAAGCTATTTTGCTTGTATATTTTCCTGTAGATATGATAGAATCAACTCATCTAGGTTTAGGCAAAAACGTTTATTGGTATGTTACTGAGATTACATTAAGCTTACAGATTAATTTAGGGAAAATTGAAATTGGTAGCCAGTAAAACATTCCTATCCAGGGATATGGTATATATTCCAATTAGCTAAAGGGTTTTGTGTCCTTCATATATAATTTTTTGTTCTGTTGGTTGGTTTTGGGGGGGTTTGTTTATTGGTTTTTTTGTTTTGTTTTATTTTGTTTTGTTTTGTTTTGTTTTGTTTGTACCAGGGATTAAATTCAGGGGCACTCAACCACTGAGCCACATCCCTAATCCCTTTTTTGTATTTTATTTAGAGACAGAGTCTCATTGAGTTTCTTGGGGCCTCACTAAGTTTAGCTGCAACTGGCTTTGAACTTGCAATCCTCCTGCCTCAGCCTCTTGGCCTGCTAGGATGACAGGCTTACACCACCGCACCCAACTCATTGTGTTTTAAAATCTTCCACATATAGGTTTTTATATACACATTATCAGATATTTTTATTATAAATTTATTTTACTTGCCCATTGAATCTTCTAGCTGTTATTGCTATATATGAAGGCCTTTGCTCTCTGTTATTTTAAATCTCACAACTCTGCTGACTTCTTTTAATTTT